GACCCTCGGCCAGCCGCTCGAGCCTGGCCCGGGTCTGAGCCCCCTGGCAGGTCGCTCCAGCAAAGGACACCGGCCTTGTGCCCCCCACGCCCCTCGCGCTGCAGGGGTGTGTCTGAGCCCCTCCCCTCGCGTAGGGTTACCCCAGGCCTGGGCAACGGGTGGGGGAGGGAGCGACCCTTTGCACCACAAACCTGCAGTCCTCACTCCAGCCTGGCCCCACGCCCCTCCCCCTGCAGGGGTGTGTCTGAGCCCCTCCCCTCGCGTAGGGTTACCCCAGGCCTGGGCAACGGGTGGGGGAGGGAGCGACCCTTTGCACCACAAACCTGCAGTCCTCACTCCAGCCTGGCCCCCAGCAGCGGCGGAGGGCGGGGTCGTTCGGTTCCCAGCAGGTACTTCAGTTCGCCTGTGGTTGCCTTCCCCTCGGCCGCTTTTATCGCCCCTCCGCTGCGCTCCTGCTGCCCCACAGCACCCAGACAATCCCGGGACCCCTCCCTGAGCCACAGAGCTGAGGTAGAGGCCCAGGCTCCCTGTGCAATGAAGGGGGAGGAGCAGGCCCATCGGAGAGCTGTGCACAAAAGCCAGCCTGCTAGGCAGCCCCCTGCTACGCGCATGGGAGGTGCTGCTGTGAGAAAGCATCTCCCGGCTTAGTCCAGATCGGGAAGGGCACTAGTTCTGCTGAATGGGGACCCCGCTCCTGGCTCAGGTGCTGGCCTCCCTGTCTAGAGAAGGTGCCCACCTAAGACCATGTGGTGCAATGGTTAGAGCACTTGCAGCTGTGGGAGATCCACGTTTCTCCCTCTACTAGGGGACAGGCTGACGTGGGAGTCCCTCCTGTTGAAGCTGTTTCACTGTGGATGGGGAGGTCCCCTGTCCTCCAGGCAGGTGCTGGAACCACTGGGCTATAGTCTCCCCCCCCCCTCTTTTGGGGGAAATGGGTTTGGGCACATGCAGGTTGCAGAGGGAATGTTGTGACCCTCTGGCTGCGTCTACATTGGCGCGATCTTGCACCAAAGCGGCTGCTTTTGCACAAAAACATGCTGCCTGTCTACACTGACGGAGTCCTTGCGCAAGTAAACTGACGTTCTAATGTGTGAAATCAGTGCATCTTGCGCAAGAGCTTATGATGCTCCCACTCAGGAATAAGCCCTCTTGTGCAACTGTTCTAGCGCAAGAGGCCAGTGTAGACAGGCAACATGAATTTCTTGCGCAAGAAAGCCCAGTGGCTAAAATGGCCATCAGAGCTTTCTTGCGCAAGAGAGCGTCTCCACTGGCATGGATGCTCTTGTGCAAAAGCACATCTCTTGTGCAAAGGCACATGCCAGTGTAGACGTTCTCTTGCACAAATACTTTAAAGCAAGAACTCTTGTGTTAGAGTATTTGCGCAAGATCATGCCAATGTAGACGTAGCCATAGTGTGTGGAGAAAAGCTTAAGCAGCCCAGTAGCTTTGAGGATTCCACCCCCGTTGATTTAGCTAGAAACTTTAGTCACTTTTTAAAATGGGACCATGCTGTTGAAATCTCCAACCCCATTTGCAGGGCTGGACGGAGGCATGGGTGAGCCGGACAGCTGCCCAGGGCGCCAACCGATGAGGGGCACCTGATGGCAGCTGTAAGGGCATGCGGCATCCCTTACAGCTGCCATCAGGCGCCGTGCGCCCGGCTCCCACAGTGCTGGCCCCACGGTGCCGGCCAGCAGCGCCCTTTCCCCTATGGCCAGTGCACACACCGGGCCAGGCTGGGCAGTGCATGTGCTGTGCGCCCCGGGGGCAGGCCTCGGGCTGCGTGCCAGAGGCCGTGGCCAGCGCGCGCATGTGCCCCGAGGGTGGTCCCAAGCATGCACTGTGTGCCATGGGGTGGCGCCGCGCACCCGGGCCCAGCGCACCAAAAGGGCTCAGGCCGGCCCTGCCCATATGAACTGACTTTCCCCCTGCCCTGCCCACCAATGATTTTAAAACCATGGGTTAATTTTTGCCAGGGAAATGGTAGGATCTCATTTCCTTGCAGATGTGTAGTTAAGTGATACAAGCAGTTCCCGTTGTGCATTGAGGGTACACAGCCGGAGTACATCTGGCAGATTCTCTGCTTCTGATACTAGCTAGAAGAATGCGTGACTGGAAAACAGTCATCCAGTTCAGGAAGACTGAGACAAGGGCTTTGAGGAGGCGGAGGAGACATAAAGCAATCTCACTAACTGGAAAAAGACCAGTGACAGGACCTTAAGTAACTGTTCATGCTGTAGTGCAAAGTGCGGGGGATGAACTGGAGAATAGGATGGAATGATTTGGAGGTTGGAATGAAGAACAGGCACATATTCCACAGCTTCTCTGAAGAGAATAAAGCCTAACAAAGTACGTAGAGAGATTGTGGAATCTCCATCCCTGGAGATGTTTAAGAGCAGGTTAGACAGACACCTGTAAGGGATGGTCAAGATCAGTGGTTCTCCAATTTTTCTGCAACATGCCTCCTTTTTGATTTTTGAGAAGCCTCGTGTCCCCGTTCCCCCCCCCAAAATAGCAGCAAAACTAGAAATAGCAGACCAGGCATTGCCCTTTCAAGGAGGCAATTGTGAAGTAATTTCACATGGTATTTTCTGAATTTTTCTACAGGACAGACAGGGCTTTTTCTTAGGGGGGGGATTTACAGGGGAGGCTGAGTCAACCTGTGCCTCCCTCCCCCGGAATTTAACCTATGGTCTAGATAATACTTAGTCCTGCCAGGAGTGCCGGAGACTGAACTAGATAACATCTCAAGTCCCCTTCCAGTCCCATGGTGTGATGATGGTTCTTGTCACTCTCAGAAGGGTTTTCCAGCAAGCAAGAATAGTTGAACGTTTGGCAAACTGAATATCCATACGGGCATTTCTTAGACTATAGGGGCTCCAGAGAAGAGGCCAGGGAAGCTCTATGCAGGTGCACAGGGAAGACATCATGAAGAAGTGGCTGTTACAAATGACCGTTTGGATGGCCACTCAGCACACAAGCTGGCAACTGCTGGAATGTCTCGAGTCGATGCTACTCCCATTGAAGAACGAATTTGTAACGTAAGATCCTGCGAGTATTTTTAGACACATTTAACTTAGCCATAGGCCAGTTGACTTCACTGGGGCCATTCCCATAACTAAGCCTTTGTGAGATTAGAACGTCCCTAACATGAAAACATGGCATTTTAATGGCTTTAAAATTCCAAATTGACAACAAGTACCCAAGAATTAAACTATTACGTGGAGTCTTGCCATATTTCTTACATAAGAATGACAATACTGGGTCAGATCAAAGGTCCATCTAGCCCAGTGTCCCGTCTGCTCACAGTGGCCAATACTAGGCGCCCCAGAGGGAGGGAACACAACAGGTAATCCTCGCATGACCTTTGTCCTGTCACCCATCTCCAGGTGGCTATGGATACCATTCCTGCCTATCCTGGCTTGTTCAATAATACTGTTAATGAAACTGACCAAAGCTAGTTTTAGTAATGGAAGAAATTGATAATATGGCTTTTTTCCCCTCTAGAAAAAAAATATTATTTAATATTTCTTTAGTTTGATAGTATCTGAGTTGTGACACTAGGAGAAAGGAGGTTAACAGATGTTCATCTCCTGTTATAGATGTTAATAACTAAATGTGAATTGTTAGACTATATGTAACCCTAATGTGAAACACAGAATATCAAAATTCCTCTGATACCTTAGTAGCTTTATCACACACACGCACACTAAAGGGAAGCTTCGGATTTACATTTTGTTTAAGTACAGGCAGTCCCCGGGTTACGTACAAGATAGGGACTGTAGGTTTGTTCTTAAGTTGAATCTGTATGTATGGAGACCAGGGAGAGGGAGGGCCCCGTTCGTAATGTTACTTATGTCGGATCCGCGTAACTCGGGGACTGCCTGTACATGGCTTTATTCCCACCTGTCTCACACTCTTTACATGGCCTGTGGCAGGTCATTTAAACTCTTTGGCCAAACTTTTCCAACTTGAATGCCTGAGTTAGGCCACAAAATAAGCACCCTCGTTTTTAGAGGGTGCTGAATACACACAGCTCCAGAAATGTCAGTTTTAGACAGAAAAATGAATATTTTAGCCTTAATGGGGTGCTGTATTTTATCTTGCTTCCAGTCTGCTGCTAAATTAGGAGAGATGCTTAAAAAGGGAAAAAAGATTCTTAGTTGCAAAATTCACCTAAATGTTTTAGCTTAATTTTCTTTTGCAGCTTTTAAGAAATAAACAAATTAGGTTAATAGCTAACACAATACTGACAATGAAAAGTCTTTTTTTTAAAAAAGCACACAGGTGAGTTTAAATATACATTCAAATAAGGACACTAGCCAGAAGTCTTTAATTGTAGTTATTTCATAGGACAATATCAGAAGCAAACACTGGAAGGAAGCGATAAAATATTTTCTTTGTTTAGATTTAAATTTACCAAGCCAAAGCTCCAGGTGCCCTTACGTAATTCATTACACAATAAATACCAGTGGGTCTCAGCAGCATTCAAATCAGTTCCACAGGAACTGGACCAGCCTGGCTCCTCACCTTGCCAGGAGGGATGTAAAATCCTCTTTAATCAGTTAACTGTTTAACTCATTAAATGGGATCCCATGGGGCGGTGGGGATGCTCCAACCCCTTTACCTTATGTGGCCAGGCTACCCAGGTGCCCTCTCACTTAATTGGCTAACCAGTTAAACATAACATTTGGTGAACTGGGACCAAAAGCCCACCGACAGGTTAATGTCACATTCCCCTACACAACCAAGGGATTCAGCGCATGAACTTAAAACTAGGAGCCGAGCAAAGTGTTTGTGGTTAGCAGCTTCTCGATAACCTTGCTCCCAAGGCTTCCAGATTTCAGCTTAAAGGCAGGGGTGTGCCTGCCTGTTGATGTGTCTGGATTTAAAAGTGAGCTAGCCAGCACTGAAGAGGACATGGACCTGTTTTCAGAAGCCCCTCTCGCGGGAAACCCAAGTGCGAGCACATATAGACGTGGTGATATTCTCTCTGTCTACACCACCAAAGCTTTGTTAAAAACAAGTCTCCCTGCTTGCACAACTTTCCATTGTAGTAATTTAAGCTGCAGATATTGCAAGAGCTGTCTCCATTCATTCTGTGCGTGGTCCTGCCATGGATGCAGGGGTCTGGACTTGTGTTCCCTCCAGCTCCCTTCCAGTTCTAGGATTCTATGGTAAGAGGAGTAATCAGGAACAGCAAATGAGTAATAAAGCAACTATTTCTATTTGCATGCATGTAGAACTAAGGACTCTAGGGGCATGCACAATGCACTCCTGTTAACCACAGAGTGAAGAACAGAACCCAAAGAGTCTGCAGTGGATTAAAGAGGGGCATTTTTACATTGTTTGTGATTGCATAAAATGTGTGTTTTATTCCTTCGGTTGCAAAAAATATACACTCTACAGAACTAGAATCTAAGAACTGAGAGAAATAGTATGATTCATTTATCATATAAAAGAATAACTATTGCACGATTTCTAGGCTTGGAATGTGTGAATTGGAGGAACCATGGATCAGATGGGAGCAGCTGATTTTTAATAGATGGAAACTGTACAAAATAATATGAAACTCACACTATTTATAAACG